TCTGGTAGGTATTCTGACCTTTCTCTCTTCCTGCCTTTAGGATTTTTTCTTTTGTGCCTTCTTTGTGTAGGCGAATTACTGTGTGTCTAGGGGTTGGTCTTCTTCTTGTGGGAGTTCTCTGTATCTCTTGTGTTTGGCTGGTCACATCTATAGTGAGATGGGAAAAGTTTTCTTGTATTACCTTCTGGAATACTTGCTCCAAGGTGTTCTCCATTTCCCTTTCTACTTCAGGAATACCAATCAGGTATAGGTTTGGCTTCTTGATATATTTGCACATCTCATGTAGGCTTTGTTCTTTCTTTCTGAGTTTTCTTTCTATGTTTTTTATAGATCAGGTTGATTCCATGTTCTGATCTTCAAGTTCTGAGATTCTTTCTTCAACTAGATTAATTCTGCTTTCCATGCTTGATATCTTATTTATTTCCTGGATGAAGTTTTTTTTGCCAAAATCTCTGTTACAAGTTCTTTCGGTGTTGCATCTTGTCTTTCTTGAGTCCTATTCACTCTTTCCATACATTCCCTAATCCCTGTCATACCATGGGGCCAGTCGTTGGTGATTTACATTTTTTGGGCTCCAAGGTCTGATTTTTCAGGAGTTTTCTCTTTGTTACACTTGAATTTACCTGTGGTCTTCCTTTGGTTTTTCCTTATTTGTGACAGATCTCTTGCTTTTCTTTTTAGTTCCATTATTCAGTGTCGGTGGGACAGGCTTTCCCTTCTGATGTTTGCTCAGCCCTCTATTCTTCCCTTATCTGGGCTCTGGATTTGTTCTATTTTGAAACAGGACTGTTGGTGGGAAGCTTTGCTGTCTCTTGTAGTTCTGAAAGTCAAATAAGGTAGGGAATGTTGTGTTAGGATTCAGAAACTACTTGCAAATTACAATGTTCACTGATTGTGGTATGTGTTCCTGAGACTCACTCCCCACTACCACTCTGTATGATGATGCTATGGGCATGTGCGTGTACCCCCTGAGTCCAAGATATAGTGACAGCAATGAGGAGCACAGAGAAAAATAGAATGAAATAAGATGGACAAGAATTTTTAAAAAGAGGAAATAAAACACTAAACAATGAAAGCAGAAACCAAAGCAAAAAACAATTGAACACACACATGCAGACATACACACACCCCCCAAAACAAACTGGAATAACAACAAAGTATAACAAAGCAAATAACAACACAAAACCAGGAAAAATAAGCACACACACACACAAAACACACCCCTAACACAAAATGAATGGAGAAGAAAAACAAAACAAAGGAATTCAGATTGAACCCTCACACGTATATTGACACATACTGTAAACTTTTAAAAAAATACAAAAAAAGAACAAAAGAGCAAAAACAAATCAACAACAAAAAAACTGAAAGATGAACACTCAGTCATTCACATACACACATAAACAGAAAACAAAAAAACAAAAGAAGAAAGAAAAGAAAAAAGGGGGGGGTTCAAATCAAACTCTCACATACACATTAATGCACAAAGAAAACTATGTGAGAAATAGGTGAACTAACAAACAGGCACAAACAAGGAAAAAACACTTGCCCTCTCATGGCAGGCTCTGTAATTGTTCCTCTCATCTGCCCTGCTATCTTCTGCAGGACTTCCACCTCTTTCATTCTCTCCCCAGTGCCCTAGCAGAGAAGGAGGGTACTGTGGGGTTGGGTGTGGCTGCAGTCCTTCCCTCCTACTCTCTTATGATCAGGGAGATCCCTTCCACTGGGGAGGTGTGGGATTGTCTCTTCCCCAGGTATGTACTCGCGGGGGTGTCCCAGCAGGCCTATCCTGGAATGGAGTTCTATTGTGACTGATGTCCAGGCTCTACCTAGGTTTATCCCTCTCAGTCAGGCCCCACCTGTGTGGGTCTAATGTTCAGAGGATTGCTGGGGATGACAGGGGTTGGGTCAGCCCTGGAATCACCACTGATCTCTTTGGAGTTCTTCCTTGTCTGTTTCTGGCCACACCCTTTTCCCATGACTGGATGAGGGTAGGGGTGTGGGGCACCTGAGACTCAGCACTCGTCAGGTCCCTCCGAAGTTTGTGCTTTCAGGATATTCCCTCTGGGTCATGATCAACCCCTGCATAGTTGATCCACCAGTCACAGAGATCAGGTCTGTTGCTCTTGGTGAGCTAGTCGGAATACTTTCCTGCCCCATTTTCAAGATGTTAGTGGGGTGCCCGTTTCATCTTCTCTGGTAGGACTCTGCATCTGGGCTCCCTCTACTGCCCTTACTGCCAGTATCCAACCAGGTGCTGAAGTGGTGAGGCAAAGCCTGGAGCCAGCAGTCTCTCCTGCTGCAGTGGTAAGGCAGAGCCTGGAGCTGGTAGTCTCTCCCCACCGCTTCTTCACAGGAAGACTTTTGTCCTTTAAAAAAAAATGGTGCTTAGCTTCTGTGACCTGTAAGCACTAGGGACCAAGCAGAGAAGCTACAGCCCCAGCTGCTTCACCAGGAGGGCACTAGCCACTTGCTCACAAGCCCCCACTTAGTCAGTCTCTTCCATCATTTTCTGCCCAGGAAGGATTTTGATTTTTTTTAAAAAATGGCGCTCAGCTTCTGCAAACCAGGAATCTCTAGGGTCCAAGCTGAACAACTATAGCACCAGCCATTGCACCAGTAGAACCCTGGCTGCCCTTTTCGTCTTCTCTGGTAGGACTCTGCCTCTGGGCTCCCTCTACATAACATAAAATTTACTATCTTAACCATTTTAAGCATACTGTTTAGTATTGTTAAGTACATTCACTGTATTGCAACCAATATCCAGAACCCTTTTTAGTTTTGCAAAACTAAAATTCTATACGTGTTGATTAACAACCCCCCATTCCCCTCTTCCCTAAGCCCATGGCAACCACCATTCTACTTTCTGTTTCTAGGAATTTGAGTACCTTTTGTATGTAGAATTATGCAGTATTTGTTTTTTTTCATGACAGGCTTATTTTACTTGGATAATGTCCTCAAGATTCATCCATGTTGTAAAATGTGTCCGTAAAGGCTGAATAATATTTCTTTTTGTTTACCTATTTATCTGTCGATGTGGGCTCTAGGATTGCCTCCAGGTTTTGGCTATCATGAATAATGCTGCTGTGAACATTGGGGTACAAATATCTTTTCAGCCCCCTGCTTTCAATTCTTGGAATTGTATACCTAAAAATGGAATTGGTGGGTGATATGGTAATTTTTAAATTTTTTGAGGAAACTGCCATACTGTTTTCCATGATGGTTGCACTATCATTAGGCTCCACCTACTGTGCACAAGAATTCCAATTTTTCAACATCCTTATTTTCTTTTTTTTAATAGTAGGCATCCTAGTGGATGTGAAGTGGTATTTCATTGTGGTTTCAGCTTACATTTCCATAATGATTAGTGATGTTGAGCATCTTTTCATATGCTTTTTAGCCATTGTATATCTTCTTTAGAGAAATATCTATAAAGTCTTTTACTCATTTTTCAATTGGGTTATTATTTTTTTGTTGAGTTTTAGAAGCCCTCTGTATATTCTGGATATCAAACCTTTATCAGCTATATGATTTACAAATATTTTTCCCCATTCTGTAGGTTGCCTTTTTAGTCTCTTAAAAGTGTCCTTTGATGTACAAAAGTTTTTAAATTTTATGAAGTCTGGTTTGCCTGTTTTTTGTTCTGTTGCCTCTGTCATTGCCAAATTCAATATTGTGAAGCTTTTGCTCTATTTTCTTTCAAAGATTGTATAGTTTCAACTGTTATGTTTAAATCTTTTATTCATTTTGAGTTAATTTTTGTATATGGTGTAAGTTAAGGGTTCATCTTCATTCTTTTGCATGTGGATATTCAGTTTTCCCAGTATCGTTTGTTGAAAACATTGCCCTTTATCTTGAGTGGTCTTGTAACCCTTGTCAAGAATCATTTGACCATATATGCAAAGATTTATTTCTGGAGTCTCTATTACATTGCTCTGTATGTCTGTGTTTATACCAGTACTACACTATTTTGATTACTGTCACTTTGGAGTAAGCTTTGAAATCAGGAAGCATGAATCTTCTAACTTTGTTCTTTTTCAAGGTTAATTTGGTACATGGTACATGGTGTTTTAATATGCATACCATCTGGTACAGTCTTATTTTCTTTGTTTATTGAAATTATTTGTGCATAATAAATAGGATTTAATATCTTTAATTTTCATTCCATTTGAGCCATACTTAAGTAAATGGAGCTAAGTTTCTCTTTCTCTGAGTTTTTAAAATTCCACTTAACCGAAGTCCAAGATATATATCTAACTGTACTTAGTATTTCCTTTACTTATATGAGCTCTAAGGTGACATTGTCACAATTTCTTTGTTCATTTCTATATATTCAACCAGTTTTCCTTCTTCCTCAAAATTAAGTCCAGAGAAGCAGTTCTATTTGCTTTGTGTTTATGAATGATTTTTAAGAGAGACTGACTACTTTAGTTGGTACCTTAGCTTCAGAGCCTCTTTATTTCAGCTATCCTGGTCTTTTTCGTCCCTTAGGTTTAGTGTCATGTTCTTTTCTTATTTTTCTTTTATTTCGTAACTTTGGACATCAACTTGGAAAGCAGTCGCAAGGAATGGAACTAAAAGCATTGAAAACTTTGAATGTATCATTTCTTTAGAAAAATAGCCTGATAAAATAGTATTAAAATGGTATATTTTATTTATTAATTTAAAATGTTTTACATAGTATTATTGTATATAGAAAATAATTTATAAGTGTCTAAAATAGGACTTCATTTTATCTGCTTTTCAATGTTGCATCTATTACAAACCAAGCTATATTGTAGTGTACTATTAGGAAACCCAGAAATATGTTTGCATAACTGATTTCTAAATGGAAAAGACATTTATTAAAGCTGAGCTAATGGATGTTTGATGGCCTAGAATTGGCAAAAATATACAGAAAAATGATCATTTCTGCTTGCTGTTTTATTACAGAATAGTGAAGTACTAGCTCTTTGGAAGTTGAAATTTCATGTTTCCTTATGTTTTTGTCTTATTTATAGGTCCTCCTCCAATTCCTGCAGAAACTGTTGTTTCTCCTGAACCAGCATATGTTTCAAAAGTACATTATGGTAGGAAAGTCCTTTGTGATGTTTCTCCTGTATCATGAGTTTTTGGTGATAAACAGAGTCAGCAGTTCATTCTGCTTTCTCTCAGAGCTGCTTTTATTTTTTTGAGTTAGGATTTTATTCTGTCCCCCAGGCATAGTCACGATTCACCCTTGCCGTGGCCTCCTGGGCTCAGGTGATCCCTCTGCCTCATCTTCCCTCGTAGCTGGAACTACAGGCACAGGTGCCACTACACCTGGCTATTTTTTTTTTTTAAGTGACTAGATCTAGCTATGTTGCCCAGGCTGGTTTCAAACTCCTGCGCTCAAGTAATCCTCCTGCCTTGACTTCCAAAAGTACTGGGGTTATAGTCATGAGCCACCATGCCCAACCTTTCAGAGCTTCATTTTGTCATTGATTTTGTGACTCTTCTTTCGCTTTTTTTTGGTAATACGAGTTCACTTATTTTCCAAGAAGAGAGAATTAATTACATTAAATAAAAATGAAAGTTGAACTAATATAAACAAGAGCATCTGAATGGACTAACTGAAATTAATTGTATCCAGTTAGCAGAATGTTAGCTGAAACTAATGTCATATTTTTAGCATTTATGAAATGATTATTAAGTAGGTAAAAAGGATTTCTGTAAAAATTATTGATTATACATTTTAAATATATGTAATGCATGAGAGAAAAATTGTCTTATTACTTTATTCCCTCTGAAAATACTAAATGGTTTGTGAACTCAACTACCAGCAACCACAATGAACCATCAGGAACCTTCAGTAGTTTATAGCCAAACTTTTAGAAACACTGTATTAAGTGTTTCTGCAACCTCATTCTCAAGAACGGTGATTCTTCATGAGAGATGCACAATCATATATCTACAAGGCAACAAAATTCCAGGACCTTCTACTCTAAAATCTCAAGCTCTGTTATGTCTTAAAAAAAGAGTCCAAAGGTGACTTTGGATGTATATTCTTGGTTATAAGCCGTTCTGTGCTAATCCAACTTACTTAGAACTGTCTTCTTTCAAAGTTTGAGACCTCTTTCAAAATTTGTGGCTTTTTTAGTGAAAAATGAATCTATATCAAGAGATTTCGAGTGGTTCTCATTGGGGCAAATAACAAAGAAGTATATTTTGACTCTCATAGTGATTAGAGAGGACCACTGGGATGTTGGTCATTTAGCAGTGTCTGAGACAGTCTTATTACAAAAACAACCGTCCTTATGACTTGAATATCATGTCAGACTAAACTCTACAAATATAATTCAGTAGTCCTCTAGTATGTAATACACATTTTTTTATAAATTGTCCAAATGCTCAGTAACTTGTGTTTTATTAGAATTAAATACTTTAAACTCTCAATCATGATATAATTATAAATTTGCTTGCATAGGTCTATAAGCTGTTAACTAACTTGACTATAAGATTGTAAGAATAATAATAAAAAAAATCTCTGGGAGAAAGAACAATGTTATTCGAATTCATATTTTGATTTTTTTCTAGAAGGGAGACAAATTCAGTTTACAAAGATTTCACAGATTGTTACAGAAACATTTAATCAGCTAATTACTACTCACTCAGAATATCTTCAATATAGCAATTCATTGGCTGCTTTTATAATTGAAAGAGGTAAGTCCAAAAATTTTGGATGTATTAGTTTGTAGAAAAACCGAATATCTTAATGATCTGAAGTATACTGCAGTAGTATTTTAATTAACTACCTCTACCCCTGTTCACAATGGTATTTCATTGATTTGGGGTGACTTTTCTCATAGTTGTGAGTCACTAAACACAAAGACTCTCAAAGGTGGAGCTAAAGTACTTTAACCAGGAACAAATAGATTCATAAAAGTCCTAACATTTTAAACTTTAAACTGCTGGTACCAGTATCCTCCTGAAATCTAATCCTTGTTATAACAAACATTGAGAAGAGGGCTATAAAAATCAGCATATAATTAAGAAATGATTAAAATATGGAAAATAATATTCTTGTGACTATATAATGTGATTCTAGCTATATTTTTATATTTTTTTCACCATTTAATGTTCTAGGTTGATCATTAATTGAGGCTTATACTCATCTCTGAACTAGGTATTATAAATGATGAAAACAGTTTTAGATCTGGTTCATGAGTTATTTTGACCAAGGTTGGAAGAGATACTTTATATATACATATACACACTAGTTGAAAATCTAAGTTGATGAAAATTGTTCATATGTAAAAATATGTGAGAATTCATAGGAAAGAAATGATATAGTTAAAATCTTTTGGAAGAGATGAGACTTAAGCTGAAAGATTAAGGATTAACAAGGAAAGGAAGACTTTTTTTTTTTTTTTTGATTTGGAATCTCACTCAGCCTCCACCTGCTGGGCTCCAGCAATCCTTCCTCCTCAGCCTTCTAAGTAGCCAGAATTACAGGCATGCACTACCATGCCCGGCTGATTTTTTGATTTATTGTAGAGATGAGATCTCGCCTACCCAGGCGGGTCTCGAACCCGCGGGCTCAGGCAATCCACTCACCTCAGCCTCCCAAAGGCGCGGGATTACAGGCTGAGCCACCGAGCCCAGCTGGAAGACATTTTTGAAGAGATAGACATGAGGGAAAAAAGCAGTATGAAAACTGTTATGAGGCAATGAGGTAAATTTATTGCTGTTACAGAGTAATCTGCGTACTGGCGTAATACAAAATATAGTTAGATTGATAAATACTGCCAAATTATAAAGTGGCTTAAAATACAGTCAAATGTTAGGGTCAATAAAATTACTAATAGTCTGTGAACAGGGATAGACAGTGTGCTGTAGTAGTTGAAAGTGTTAACATCAGACTCAACTGCTACTTTAATTATTTTGGGCAAATTATGTACTTAGCATCTCTATACTTTAATTTTCTTCTCATTTCTTAAAAATAGAGATACTAGAAACAACAACCCTACTTCATGGGGTTGTTAGGGTTAGATATAATCATGTAAATAAAGTATTTACCATAGTACTTGGCATTTAGTAAAAACTTAATCTCATTTGTGATGATTAAGATAAATGTTTAAGCAATACTTGACAGCAAACAATTTTTTCAAAAGATTACAAGGGTTCACCCTGAATTATGGAGCCACAACTTAGGAAGTTGTGATGGATTGCCTACATTAGAGTTGAGAACAGGAAGGGGAAAATATATATCTTTTAAATTGATGTGATAATATGGTAACAGTAAATGATAGATGAAGTAAAAACCAATAGCATCATTTTGAGTTTACATTGGAGAATAGTGTTTCCATATCTACAGGGAATCTAGAAGCTAGTGTGAAGTATGTTGGGGGGACAGAAGAACATGGATGAGAAGAATAAATGTAGTTTTAGAAATTATGATCATGAATATAGAATGAGAAAGCCCGAGCGAAATCAGGTGGACATATCTGGAGTAACTCACACAATCAATACATATGTAAAATGTATTTTTAGAAATCTTGTCTCATCATTTTTAATTGGGCCCATAAGAAGCTATCAGATCCAGATGTTCTCTCTCCTGCCACCAGTTCTATATACTTTCTTGTATTGGTATTCATCTCTACTGTGACAGCAGAGGAAGAACCTCTCCTCTCATAGGCTAGTTCTTTCACTTAAGTTCTGATTACATTACCTCTCACATCCTGATAAAGTCTTTCTTTTGGTTATCTTCTTTTCTCTGCATTATCAAACTCTAGTTCCTGAAGCATTGCAAGTTGAGTTTTACAGAGTTGAGAAAAAGGCTGAGTTCTTCTCAGAGAAAGAAGCTCTTTGCAACCCAGAGCTTATATCATTCCTGAGCTTGCTGATACTATATAATTCTATTTAAAGGAAGGTATTGAGTCAAGTTCAGCATTCACAGGGTCACATCCCTATCCTAGGAATGAAAGCAGAGTCTGTGCCCAGATGCCCCTGAATAATACATCTTTGCTTTCATTTCTCCAGTGTCTGGAAAGCTTGGCTTCCCAAACTTTTGTCCTAAAAATAAACCCTTCTTTAAACCCTTGGTACCTTTGTACTTAAATTCAAAGTCATTATTTACTTGACTCTGTAACCAAACGTCATCAAGAAGCTCTTTACATCCACCATGTCTACTCTTTGCTCCAACTTCGTTTTTTTTTTTTCCTCTACTACTTTTTGGAAACTGTCCTTGTCAAGGGTACTCATCACCTGCATATTGCAAAATCTAGTGAATTTTATTACCTATTCACTTGACTTTCTGGAAACATTAAACATGGTTTACCACACTTGCTTTTTCTGTCGCACCAAATTCTCCTGGTTTACCTGCCCTCCACCCTAACAGCCACAATATTGAACAGAAATTGCAAGTATGCAATATATTATTAAATGTAGTCACTGTGCTGTACCTTAGATCTCTAGAACTTGCTTTTTTTTACATCTTCAAGTTCTTTTTTACCAATGTCTCCCCATGCCTCCTACCCCCTCACTACTAATAACCACCCTTCTACGCTCTTTTTTCTGAGTTCAACATTTTTAGATTGTTTAAAGAGATCATGCAATATTTGTCTTCCAGTGTCTGTTTTTCTCAGTTAACATGATGTCCTCCAGATTTATTAATGTTGCAAATAGCAAAATAGTCTTTTTTTTAAGGCTGGAAAATAGTCTGTCTGTGTGTGTGTGTGTGTGTGAGAGAGAGAGAGAGAGAGAGAGAAACAATTTATAGGATATGATGTTTCTGTATCTTGGCTGTTGTGAATAATGCAACAGTAAACATAGGGGTTCAAATCTCTTTGGATTTTAATTTCATTTCCTTTGGATATATATCAGAAGTGGGATTTTTGGGTCATATGGCAGTTATTTTTTTTTTTTTTGAGGAATTTCCATATTGTTTTCCATAACAACTGTACAAATTTGCATTCCTACCAACAACATATAAAGGTTCCTTTTATCTACATCATCACTAAAACCTGTCATATTTTGACTTTTGTGAGGCTGTCTCATTGTGATTTTGCTTTGCATTTCTCTGATGATTAGTGATGTTGAGCACTTCTTCGTATAGCTGTTTGTATGATTTCTTTGGAAAAATGTGTATTCAGGTCCTTTGTCCATTTTGTAACCCAGTTTGTTTTTTACTGTTGAGTTGTGGGTTATATTTTGGATATTTACCTGTTATTAATACATGGTTTGCAAATATTTTCTTCTGTTCTGTTGGTTTACCTTTTGTTGATCCCTTTCCTGTGCAGAAAGGAAATGTAACCCAAGATGGTTTTTGCTTCCATAGCTTTCCCAAAGTGCTTTGGTAAAATCCACAGATTCTTTAGCATGGTATGTAATGTCTCTCTCCATGTTTTCATCTTATGCCATTCCCTCCACCCCACTTGCTAGAGCATCTACGCTGGTCTTCTCTTTTCCCCGGGTGATGTGAACTTGTTACTTCTTTTGACTAGAATACTCTATCACTCATGGTGAAGCTTAAATTTCAGCTTGTTAGGGAGGGATTCTGCAACTCGTTATTTTTCACCTCAGCTTCATATTGTTTCCTTGAAAGCACTTATCACAATTTGGGGTTTGTTTAGTCTTTTTTATTGCTCTCCTGCTAAAAGCTTCATGAGGGTATGTCTTGTGCAACATTTTATTCCTCGCATCTAGTTGAGTGGCCTGGTACTTGGTTAGGACCTCAACAACTCTTGCTAAAGTAGTGAAAGTTCTTTAGGTAGTTGCAAGTGTGAAACTGAGCTTTGCTTGAAAGACTAAAAGACTCAAGATTTTCTGAAATCACCAATACAGAAGTAAGAGAATGAGGAAGATATCTAGAGGCGAATATTTATGGAGAAAGAAAGCAGTGAGCTAGTCACTAGGCAATAGAAAGCCCTCATAATTAGGATTGAGAGGAAAAAAGATTGCTGATTTGAATTGTATATTTTTAGAGCATGGAGTTTCAAGGAAATTTCAAGTAGGACACAACAAAATGTGAATGGAGCAAGGCTGCTGAAAAAAGCGTAAGGTTCTTGTTTCTTAAGAAAGCAGTTTCAGTAGAACAGAGAAAGAAACTATTTTGGTTTATAGAGAGTTTGAATGGGTTAAGAAAAATCAAAGACATTATACTGAGGGTGCCGAGAAAATGTATATACATTTTAAGAAAGGAAACAACTGTATTAAAATTGTAATACTCAATATATACCTGCCTGTCATATGGTGATGCTAGCATTTGAGCAAACGTCATATTACACATTGCTACAGTAATTCAGTTCAACTTTGAGAAGTCATATATAGATGACATCTCTTAAAATGTGTATATATTTTTTGGCAACCATGGTATATACACAGTTTGTTTAAGATAGAAATAGAATGGCAAATGAAGTCTTAGAAGGTCAAAAAAATCTAGATGTAGAAGAAATAAATGTATATTTGAAAGCCAAGGTTATTTGGTGATTCTGTTAAATGTGGTAAAAGTTTAGATGACATATTATAAGACATCTGCCTCTTTTTTTTGGAAACAGGGTCTTACTCTCATCCAGGCTGGAGTCACAGTGGCACAATCCTGGCTCACTGCAGCCCTGACCTCCTATACTCAAGCAGCTCTCCTGCCTTAGTTTCCTGAGTAGCTGGGACTACAAGTGTTTGCCACCATGCCTGACTGACTATTTTTGTATGTTTTTATGAAAATGAAGTCTTACTATGTTGCCTGGGCTGGTCTCAAACTCCTGGGTTCAAGTGATTCTCCTACCTCAACCTCCCAAAGTTCTGTGATTAGAGACATGAGCTTCCACACCCAGCCAACATCTGCATTTTAATTTGAGATACTGCTTTTAAAATTTTGCTTCTCGTTGGCAGTAATGGGAAGCTGTTGGGAAGGGGGGGGGTGGGATTGGCAGTTGAGGGAAACTGCTAGGGGAGGGAGGGGCATACCTCATCAACAAGGGTACCTGCATAATCAATGTTTGTGTACCTAACACTGAATTGTACTCCACGTCTTTATAATAATTAAAAAAATTGCTTCTTACATTAAAAATGGTGTGATAAAGGTGGAAATTGAACTTAGGGAAGAAGGAGGTTAAATTAACCAGCTACTGTTTTCCTTTTTCTTTCAGCTGGACAGCATGAAGTTGTAGCTATAGGTACAGGTGAATACAATTACAGCCAGTGTATTAAGCCAAACGGAAGAGTGCTGCATGACACTCATGCTGTTGTTACAGCAAGGAGGTCTCTCCTTAGGTAACCAATATATTTAATGCCATCAAATGTTAATGCTCACAACCTAAAGTACTGCATTTAAATGTCTTTATTTACAAATAGAATTGTACTGATTTTTGTGTCACAAGTGTGACATTTCCTTATCTCAGTCATCTATTATTTCCATGTCATCTTTGGAAACCTTATCATAGTAACTGTAATGTCTAGTGTGTGGATTTCAGTGGTTTCCATTAATAAAACCTGGTGAACTCTGTTTTAGGAATCCTACAACATTTTTAAAAATAAAAATAACATTTTTTTAACTGACTAAACTTATTGGAAAGTATAGCTTTAGAGCTGTAACAAGGAGTCTTGGTCATATTTCACCACTGAATTAACCATACTTTACCCAAGGACAGCACCAGAAAACCAACAGATTTTTATTCACGAGCAGTTTTAGTAGAAACAGTAGGTTCATGTAAAGTTTAACATAAAGCAGAGTGTAGATAAAGTATTCTCTTTAGGCTGGCAGATCTCAGAGAGAGAAAGTGGCTGGGGCTTCTTTTTCTATGCTCTTCAGTATCTCTGATCTTTACAAAAGAATTGAATAACAAATGGGAAAGCAAGACAGGAATTTGGAAGTCCCTTCATATGAAAAGTCAAAAAAGTGTGTTACTGCCTGTAATATCCACCAGCTTTTGGTTCTTTTAAACTTATTTTTTATCCAACTTCTTGTTATGGAAATTTTTAAAGACACACAAGTGAGAAAAGGATAATAAATTCCCTAATTCAGCTCCAACAGATATTAGCATTCTGCTGTCCTTGTTCAATCTCTGCATTCTCGCTTTTTATTGATGGTGTTTTCTTTGCTGGAGCATTTTAAAACAAATTCAGAAATATTTTTCCTTAAAATGTGTAAATATATATCCTTAATAATAAGGAAAGAATCCTGTAATCTTATAAGTTATTCAATAAGACCATGCGAACAGTGCAACTCATTGTCCTCCCATCCGCCTTGGTGCTAATGAAATTGATTTCTTTAAAAGCTACCTCTTTTATTCATATTTCTTCCTATGCTTATTTTCAATATGGATACTGAATTTTTCATTACATATTTTGATGATGGGATTAAATGGAGTGTTATCTTAAAATCAGTTTTATAAATACGCAAAATAGGATTTGTCTTTGATCTGATTAGTTGTAATCTTTCAGAAGATCTGGCATCACTTTTTTTAATTTTTAAATTATTGTGAATACATAGTTGTACATTTTTATGGCATACATGTGATATTTTGATACAAGCATGCAGTGTGTAATGAACAAATAGGGATAATCAGAGTATTCCTCATCCTCCAGCAATTAGCATTTTTTTATGTTAAGAACATTCCTAATATCAGACAAAATACCCTTTAAGCTATCAAAAATTTAAAAAGATACAGAAGGTCACTACATAATGATAAAAGGTTCAGTCCATCAATAAGCAATATCCATCCTAAACATATATGCACCCAACATAGGAGCACCAACTTTCCTAAAGCAGTTTCTAGGTAAACTAAAGAAAGAATTGACTCTAACACTATCATAGCTAGGGCCTTAAACACCCCACTAAAACCCTAGACAGGTCAACAAGGAGAGCCAGCACCTCAACGTGACACTTGACCAAATGGACTTAATTGATACTTTCAGAACACTCCACCCAACAACTACAGAATGTACATTCTACTCATCACCACATGGAATGTACTCTTAACATCAACCACATCCTCGGCCATAAATCAAGCATAAACAAATTCCATACAATTGAAATTCTGCCATGTACCTTCTCAGACCACAGTGGAATAAAAATAAATATCAATACCAACAAAGTTACCCCTAAGTCAACAAAGACATGGACACTAAACACCATAATGCTAAGCAACTCCTGGGCCACCATGGAAATCAGAGATTAAAAGATACCTGGAAACAAATGACAACAAAGAAGCATCTTACCAAAACCTCTGGGATCCCATGAAAACAGTCCTAAGAGGGGAATTCATATCTCTACATATGAAGAAAATGGGAAGATCACAAGTTAACAACCTAATAAATCACATAAGGAAGCTGGAAAAGCAAGACCACCAAAACCCTAACTTCAGCGTAAGAATCCAGGTCACCAAAATAAAAACTCAAAATTGAGACCAAGACAAAAATATAATACAAAAAAAAAGAAACAAAAGCTGGTTCTTTGAAAAGATAAACAAGATTGATGGAACCCCCCCCCCAGCCAGAATGACCAAGAAAAAGAGAGAAAACGCCCAAATAAACACAACAAGAAACACAAAACATCAGCTCACAACTGACCCCAAAGAAACACAGAAGATTATCAGAGATTGCTATGTACACCTATATGGAAACAAATTCGAAAACCTAAATGAAATGGAGGACTTTCTGACATCATACAACCTCCCCAGGTTAAAACAAGAAATGAGACCCTACAGACCAATAACAATCCAGGTAATTGACTATGTCATAAGAAAACTAACTACAAAAACAAAAAACAAAAAAAACAAAGCCCTAGTCCAGATGGTTTCTTGCAGAATTCTACAAAACATACAAGGAAGAACAAATACTAATCCAATTAAAAGTATTCCAGGCAATTGAGAAAGGTGAAACTCTCCCAAAATCATTGTATGAAGCTAACATCACATTGATACCCAAACCAGGTAAAGATCCAACAAAGAAAGAACTACAGTCCAAAACCTTGATGAACATAGATGCTAAAATTCTCAACAGGATTCTAGCAAATCAGATCCAACAACATAACTCAAAAACCATCCACTATAACCAAGTAGGCTTCATCCCCAGGATGCATCCTTAAGACCGTAAACATAATTAAATACATCAACAGATGTAAAGACAAAAACCACATGATTTTGTCATTAGATGTAGAGAAAGCTTTTGATAAAATCTAGCACCCCTTCAGATAAAAACCCTCAAACATCTAGGCATAGATGGAACATACCTCAAAATAGTTAGAGCCATCTACAAGAAACCCACAGCCTACATACATACTGCTAAACAGACTCATTGGAGCCATTTCCGATGAAAACTAGAACAAGACAAGGATGCCCACTGTCACCCCTCCTGTTCAATTTAGTATTGGAAGTCCTAGCTAGAGCATTGAGACCAGAGAAGTAGGTCAGGGGTATCCAAATAGGAAAAGAGGAAGTTAAGTTATCCTTCTTTGCAGACATGATTCTATACCTCAAAAACCGAAGAGAATCTGTTAAAAACCTTTTTGCACTGATAAAGGACTTTGGCAAAGTCTCGGCATAAAATGTGCAAAAGTCAGTTGCATTCCTATACACCAACAATAAACCTAAATAAAACGCACAATATCATTCACAATAGCCTTAAAAAAATAAAAGGAGATGCCTTGGCATCTTCCTAACCAGAGAAGTCAAAGACCTTTACAATGAAAACTACAAAACACTGTTCAAAGAAATCAAAGATGACACAAACAAATGGAAAAATATTTCATGCTCATGGATTGGAAGAATCAACATGGTTAAGATGTCCAGCCTACCCAAGTCAGTCTACAGATTTAATGCACTACCTATTGAATTACCAGCAGCATTCTTCTCAGACCTGGTAATGACATTACAGGAATTCATGTAGAAACATAAATGACCACAAATAGCCAGAACAATCCTCAGCCAAAAAAAAAAAAAAAGAGGAGGCATCACAATCCCAGACTTTAAGCTTTATTATAAAACTACAATAATCAAAACAGCCTGGTATTGGTACAAGAACAGTCATATAGATCAAAGGAACAGGATAGAGATTCCAGAAGCAAAACCTCAATTTTTCAACCAACTCATCTTCAACAAAGCTTCCAATAACAACCACTGGGTAAAGGAGAACCTATTCAGTAAATGGTACTGGGAAAATTGGCTGACCACATGCAGAAGATTAATACAAGACCCATACCTATCCCCATTCACAAAAATCAACTCTAAATGGATCAAAGATCTAAACATCAAACCTCAAACTATTAGAACCTTAGAAAATACAGGCGACATCTGTATGGAAATTGGAACTAGCAGCCAATTCCTGAACAAAACCCCAAGCGCCCATGCCATAAGAGAGAAGATTGACAAGTGGGACCTCATCAAACTGACTAACTTCTGCAAAGCCAAAGAAACCATTGAGAGAGTAAGGAGATAGTACACATACTGGGGAAAAAAATATTTGCCAACTGTATATTTGACAAAGGCCTAACATCTAGGATCTACAAGGAACTCAAACGTGCCGAAAAGAGAAAAGCAAACAGCCCCACTACAAAGTAGGCAAAAGATATGAATAGTCTCTTCTCGAAAGAAGACATCTGAGCAGCCACAAGATACATGAAAAAATGCTTAGTCTCACTAGTCATCAAAGAAATGCAAATTAATATTACACTGAGATACCACCTAACTCTGGTCAGAATGGCCATTATCAGTAACTCAGAAAACAACAGTTGCTGGAGAGGATGCGATAAAAAGGGAACACCTCTACTCGTCAGGAATGTAAACTAGTACAGCCTCCATGGAAAACAGTGTGGTTAGTCCTAAAAGACCTAAAAATCAACCTCCCATACGACTCCACAGTCCCACTACTGGGAATGTACCTGGAGGACCTCAAATCACTCTATGGTAAAGATAACCTGCACATGTATGTTTATTGCTGCATTATTTACAATTAGCAAAAACATGGAACCAACCATGCAGCCCATCAAAAGAGGACTCGGTAAAAAAAAAAATTTGGTATATATACTTGATGGAATATTTTGCAGCCATAAAGAAGGACAAAATTGTTAATGTCACAACAACTTGGATAGACTTAGAGGCTATAATACTGAGTGATCGATCACTGAAACAAAGAACCGAGTATCACATGTTCTCACTCATAAGCGGACCTTGAACACCTATAGTAATACTATAAGAAAGGACTTGGCAGTACTGGGAAACTGCTGGGGGGGGGACACACCTCATCCACAAGTGTACCTGTATGATGAACATTTGTATACCTATCCCTGAATTGTACCCCACATATTTAAAATAAAAATTTAAAAAAGAACATTCCCAATTCTACTCTCTTAATTATTTGGAAATATACACAAATTATTGTTAGCTAGATCTGCTTCACTTAATACAATTTTTATTGTTCCTAAGCCCTTGTGTGTTTTTCTTTAAAATCATTAAGAAGCAGGAACCACAGTTTTTGTTGTAGTAGTAATAGTTGTTTTTGTTTTTTGGGTAAGGAAGGGGAGATAGAAGCAAGGCAAAAAGTTGGCACTGCACCTGGGAGGCTGGGAGCAGAGTTGTCTGAGGAACAAGAGAGGAATCAGTAGAAAAAGTGGCTTTTGCAGGATATGACCATTGAAGACTCAAATGTGAAATGGGAATGAAGTGGGAGTCAGGGAATGGTGTTTTAAGGCAGGTAACAGGGCCAACTGAGCTCCAGTTGAACGTTTCTTGAGAAACTTAATTTTCATTTCATTCACTTAGGTTATTTTTAGACGTTCTTATCTATATCAGAACTTTAGACATATGAGACATTACTTATGACATATAGATAGGATGCTCATTAAGATACATCTTTTATAAATTTTATTACTTGACAAATTTATAACATTTATTTTAGGTACTTTTATAGACAACTTCTGCTCTTCTATAGCAAAAATCCTGCCATGATGGAAAAATCAATATTTTGTGCAGAACCAACTTCTAATCTACTCACTCTTAAACAGGATACTAACATTTACCTATATATGAACCAATTGCCTAAAGGATCAGCCCAGATTAAGTCACAGTTGTAAGTATTATGACAGTTGTTTTTAAAAGCAAGTAGGATAGCCCGCCATACATTTTGACTTCCTACAGCAAATGGAAGAATTTGATTCTAATTATCCATATTTTTCCTCCAGCCTTGAGTTTTTTTGTGGCCTGTAGGAGGCTACAAATCCTCCCCCCGCCCCATAGTATGTTTATTACTAGCATAGTTTGAGCATCCCAAATCCAAAAATCTGAAATTCAGAAAGTTCCAAAATCAGATACTTTTTGAGCACTGACATGATGCTCAAGGGCAGTGCTTATTGGAGCCTTTCAGATTTTTGAATTAACATGCTCAGCCAGTAGGTATAAAGCAAATATTCCAAAATCTGAAAAAAAAATCCTAAATCTGAAGCACTTATGGTCCCAAGCATTTCAGATAAGGGATACTCAACCTGTACTTAAAAATTCTATGTGCCTTACTTTCTTTTCTATATTATTTAAAATCTTTCTATTTTTAAGACCTTGTAAACAGGAAAGTATGGATTGTTTCACTGTTCACACAAATACAAGAGTTAAAAAAAACTCCAATATGTGGCCGAACTTTATTGCTTTGATGAATGGATAGCATCAGGTAGCATAAAACTCATTTTTTTTTTTTTTTTTTTAAACAGTACAGACAAGTACAAAGTAAAATTCACCTCAGGTCTAGCCATCTAGATATAACATGGGTAATAAGTCTGATAAAAATCTCTCCAGTAACACCTTTGAAAATGAGGTCAGTGTCCCCTAAAGAGATATTTCAAGAAAAATAATTTTAGATTTTATTATTATAGCATTTTATTGGAAACAAATCTTGAAGAAAAATTGTTAGTTTTTTACATCCCTTTTGTAGTTTTAAAAAACTTTTTACAGAGGTAGGAAATAAATCATAAACTAGGATAGCAACAAGGGCTTTTATTTTATATAAAGAATGGTGATAATATGAAAAGTATCTATTATGGAAGCTCTAAATATGATTAATTTCTGTTTTGTATTATTCTTGTAGAATAAAGTCACTGCATTCCTACCTGGCTTTGTGCTTGCATCTTTCTGTTACTGGAATTTAGTGTAAATCTAGTTAAACAAATTCTTAGGTACATGTAAATTTTACTCTGTTATCTTTGTTTTTTAAAAGAAGAAACTTTTCTTTTCTTTCTCTAGACGCCTTAATCCACATTCTATATCTGCATTTGAAGCCAATGAAGAGCTGTGTCTCCATGTGGCTGTTGAAGGCAAAATTTATCTGACTGTTTACTGCCCTGCAGATGTTGTTAATAGAATAAGCAGTATGTCCTCAAGTGACAAATTAACAAGATGGGAAGTGCTTGGTGTACAGGGAGCATTGTTGAGTCACTTTATACAGCCAGTTTATATCAGCAGTATACTTGTTGGTGAGTGGAATTTCAGAACTTCATAGCCTCTTTCATTAAGTAAATTATTTGTATTTTACTTATCAGCACGAAATCAACTTTTGTATACATGAAACTATTTAAGGTCAAAACATGAATTGACTGTTTTGTTAAGCTGTTTCATTGTAACTTATAGTCATGCGTAATATGATATGACTTTTATCAGCTTATCAGAAGGCCAAGAATTAATACTTATTATCCAATTAGATATACATGTATTTCGTCTTGAACTTATACTTTTTTTGGCCCAATATTTAATTTTCCCTCTTTATTTGGGGAGAAGATGCTTTCATGAACTTATCAAATCTGAAAGCTTATATTGACTCCTCCCTGAAATAAGAAAGCTTTTAAATGCTTATTTTGGCCCCTTCCTTACACTGCTTTAACACATTTGGATATGGTATAGATCCTTTTGATTAGCCAAATAAATATGAGGGGGGATCCCCAAAAAACCAGAATTATCTTTTGGACGGTGGGTTTCTTGTAGTACAGGCCTAACCCACTAGGTTAACTAGCTAGCATTGTTGCCTCAGTGAATTTTGTTTTTGGAGGTTCTTTTAACGCATTTGCTTATTTTATGGTGGGTGATTTACGAGCACATCTGCCCACACTGCACTATGTGTTCAGTAGTTTTGACCAAAAACAGTGTGACCCCTAGGCTCACCCTCCCTATTCACCTGATCTCATCCTGAGTGGCTTTTTTTTTTGTTTCGCCGTATGAAAAAGTCCTCAAAGGGAAATGTTTTTTGATGTGGAAGAGGTGAACCAAAAAATGACAGAAGCACTAAAAGGTGTCAAAATTGACTAGTTCAAAAACTTTTTTGAGCAGTAGAAAAAGCATCTCAAGTGTATTGCATCAAGTGGAGAGTACCTTGAAGTTGACTGAAATTTAAACATGTAAGAGCAAATACACAATTTTTAATAAATTCCTTTTTTGGAGGTCCCTCTTCATATAAAGTAATTAGAACATAAAATAGCATAAATTTGTCATTCTATTGGGTGAGAGAGATTTCAAAATACTAGATTTTATATTTGAATGGCTTTCCAGACATTATCTTCTTGATCAACAATTTGGGGCTTGTTTCTTTAGTTTCTATAAGGTCTTGTTGTTTCAAAGCTTTAGTTATCCTTGTGAAGCAATTTACCAACATCACTTGACTCTTGTTTGCTTATTATTAATTTTTGAAAATGAATGCATGTGCAAGTTTTACATACTCACGTGAGTTTTTTTTTTCATAGTTGGTGCTGTTTCTGGATTTTTTTTCTTGTTTCTTTTTATATATTTTATACCTATTTATTTTGGAATGTCTCTTATATGTGACATTTTTTAGTTACACATGCATACAAGATATTGTAAAAAGAGAAGTGGTTATTATTAACCTTTTAAATATTCAGTTTATTTTAATTTTATAGGAAATACATTACTTGATTTACAGTTCAAAAGGGTATTTAGTAAATAGTTTCCATCTCACTGCCACAGGCACCCTTTTTACCTCTGTTGAAGCATACATTGTTGGTTACTAATTTCTTGTTTTACTTTCTAGAGATTGTTTGATTATGCTAATAGAAGTATATGCATTCTTTTTTTCTTATTTTTTATATTTTATACCAATAGGAGCATAGAATTCCTGTTTTTCTGCATCTTGTTTTTTTCATTTAACACATTCTTGACTGGCACATTTTTCACTTTCATAATACTGAGAGCAGGTGAAAATAAAATAAAATAAAATATGATGCTGGTGGCCGCAAATTTCAGTCATTAAGTACAAGTGGAATGGTCTTTTCTAAATTGGCATCTTTTTCATAATAAAGCTAAAAGTTGTAGACATATCCAGTGTTTGCCTCAGATACCACTCTGACTAGCATTTTGTACTTTGTGTTTTTATTTGAATTATAAACTCAAAAAGACAGTCTTTTGCGATGAGGTACCATGGATTCATCCAAGGAACATTCTTGTTCAAGTTTGTACATGGTGTTGAACTTATTTAAAACATAATTTATTATGGGCTCAATTTTGCATAATCTGTTTAGAGTTGATTGCATTTCTGCAAAATGCAAAAACTGCAAAATTCGTAGGAATCTATTTCATGTCATTATTTTTTTAAAAGGAAGTCATCACTATTGATGGACATGTTGGCCAATAATCACGTATTGTGGTTTTCTTCATTGTTCCATCAAAATACTTAAAACTAGACATTTTTTCATCTTGGACACTGTAGTATTGCTCCACCCTTTTGGACATCTGTATCTGTAGTGCATCTGATAATAATACCAGTTAGTTTCAGTTGCTTCATTTTTATAACATCATTTTCAATAAATAGTCTGACAACTTCACTTATACTTTGGGGTTCATTTAGAAATACCTTGACTCCTGGATTACCAATAACCACTTCTAAGTTTCTTTTCGGATATTCTGTTCACTCAATGTCTGATTCATTCTCACCAGTACTAGATTCACTATCATAGATTATCTGTATTGTGTTTCTTTATTTACACTGCATCATTACATCACTATCTGTCGCACTATCACTTATAATTTCACTGAATTCACCTTGGACCTCGGAATCTCATCAGCATATATTTCTTCATTTTCCATAATTATGGTACATTATTTTTAATGTTGAAATATGAAAGCCCTGACATAGCAAAATACAAGTATACAACACTAATCACAACAAAATAATGACCAACTTGCAATTTTTACCAACTACGTAAATCAATAACAACATTGGGCTATCTATATCAGATAATTATCTCAATTAACTTTCTCCTTGCCTAACTATTCATTTTCAAGCAAAATATAATAACACATACATCTGACAACGTTGCAGCATTCAGAAACAGAATTTGCAAAGACGTAAATTCATGTCAGTGGCAACCAGAAACAGAATTTGGAATGGCGTAAATTCACATCAGTGATCATGAATGAGTTAATACATAGACTCTTTTTATGCCATTCCAGATAATCATCTAATCCTGATTTAAAAGCACCCAATAATGTAGGATTTAAAGGCAATATATTTCATTAATTGAACAGCTCCAATACTTGCTAAAAATTTTTTCCTTTATAAAATTGAAATTTGCCTCCCTTTGATTCTGTACCGTCACTGTACAGATTAAATCTAATTCTTTGAAGTTGATAACTTTTTCTTTTCTCTTAAGCCTTAGTACTTTTGTAATTCTTTATTTTGATTTTTTTAAATCTATGTTAATTTCTTAGATCATTTATAAATGGAAAAAATATTATAGGGGCAAAGAAAAAGTTTATCCTTCATCCTCTGAAGGCTTACTGAAAAGAGGCAAATTAATAGGAGAAAAGGAATATAAGTGTATAAATGTGCCTGGGGGAAAAAATCACAGAATGATTCCCCAATTACCCAGTCCAGTACAGAAGCTTATATGCTTTTTTCATATAAAAGGTGTGAGATGGGGAGTGTAGACAGTTTTTGAGGGACAGTAAATCATTAGGGAGAATGAATGGACCCTAGAGATGGGAGGCAGAGATTATGGGATAAAGATGCTGTAAATTATAGTGATCAGCCAACTGGATAAGGATATTTCAGAAAGAGTCCTTTCTGGGCTTTGGGAAAGGATCAAAGAAATAAGTGAGATGGGGAAAGCGTCAGAGAAAATTCTTGTTTCCGAGTCCTGTTTTTTTTTGTTTGTTTGTTTGTTTTTTGAGTAGGAGTCTCACTCTGTTACCCAGGTTAGAGTGCGGTGGCACACTCATGGCCACTGCAGCCTCAACCTGCTGGGCTCAGGTGATCCTTCCGCCTCAGCCTTCAGTGGCATGAACCACTGAGCCTGGCTTCTGAGGTCTGTTTTTGAGGCCTTTCAATTTTCAAAGCAGCCAGAATGCTGAAGTACCACACTTTGAGGAATCATTTTCTATACCCCAACATTATTATATTTTGAAGCTTCATTCATTTTACTTTTCAAAAAGTTTGCATAAACATTTTATGCTGTGGATGTTCAACAGATATTCATTTTGTCATTTTATGGTAGTAGTTTTTTTCTCTTTAATTTTTTTTTTTTTTTTTGAGTTGGAGTCTCACCCCATGGCCCAGGCTGGAGTACAGTGGCATACTCACGGCCACTCCAGCATCAACCTGCTGTGCTCAGGCGATCCTTCCATCCCAACCTTACAAGTAACTGGAACTATAGGTGTGCACTACCACACCCAGCTAATTTTTTAGTTTATTGTAGAGATGAGGTCTCACCAAGTTGCCCAGGCTGGTCTCAAACACATGGGCTCAGGCAATCTGCTCATCTCGGCCTCCCAAAGTGCTGGGATATTATAGGCTTGAGCTACCACGCCCAGCCTTCTTTTTAATTTAATACATGGAATCTAAGAATCTAGGCTTGCATTAAAAGGACATTTACTATTTTGAATAGACAATTATGCAGGATAATCTGGAAAAAAACTCACTTGAGTATTGAAAAATAGCTGGATTTATATTCGTTTTCAAGATTTTTACAATATGTTTTACAAATGTGGTAGCTCCTATTAAGTTTGTCTAAATACTTCAAAATTGAGTAGAGGTATTTCCATCCAGAAGTCTTACATAAACTAATTTGAATTGTAGAATTCAGATGTAAATACTGAGACCCTCCTAGTGAAGAAACCCATTTTAAATAACAGTTTATGGACTTTTAAGAAGCAGTTGATAATAATCTTAGAAATTATTCAGGTGTCTTTTTTTTAAAATCAGTAATATGAGGTTCAGAATGTTAATAAAATGCTTTCCCAAAGTCAGTCAGTTTTCTTATTGGAAGAGCCTAGACTTCAATCCAGTTTTCATAACTTTTTATGCGCTGTTTATGATGGACCTCTTATATATGGATTACTGTCAGGTCTCTTGTAGTCCTTGATTAGACTTAACCTTTGACTTTAACCTTGGAATTCTGTGTTACTTCAGATCATTCTGAATGAATCAAATAAAACATTTTTAATTATATGATATAATTTTAGCGATATATTG